GATTCCTGCATACAGGACTTAATTACAAATCCTTATGTTGATTGTGTATAAACATCGGGTTTTAAAGAACACTATAGGCAAGTACACATGAGCCATAACATGATGCCAAATAGACATACTAAATGCTCCTCTGCAATCACATTATATTTCCTTAATGCCCTCACTGTCCCATGCTCTTAGTGGATTATTTCACACTTCTTCTTCCCAAACATGTGTCTCATTTCTCATTCTTTAACTTTTCTAGGAATCTCTAAGAAAAGAGCAGAAGACAGAGTGAACTTCTCTAAGCACCCACCACCACAGCTGTTCACCTTCCTATTACATCACCTGTGTTCTGCACTCCCTCCTGTTAGAATGAATTAACTGTCTGCAATCCACAGATTTATCTACTGGATCGCTCTTACTAACACACACATGCTATTAATTCGCTCACCTCAGAAACCCCACTCTGGCGATCCTACTTTCTCCTCCATTTAGCATAATATTTTCCCATATTTTTCTCCTCCCACTATTTCCTGAATCTATCTGAGGCTTTTAACTTAACAAAACAAACGATTGCCAAGGTTGCTATAACATCCACATTGCTAAAACCAATTATCAGTTCTCAGGTTTTGTACTTTAAGTTCTGGGGTACACGTGCAGATCTTGCAGGATTGTTGCATAGGTACACACATGCCATGGTGGTTTGCTGCCTCCATCCCCCCATCACCTACATCAGGCATTTCTCCCAGTGTTATCCCTCCCCACCCCCTGTTGTCCCTCCCCTAGACCCCCACCCTCCAACAGACCCCAGAGTATGATGTTCCCCTCCCTGTACCCATGTATTCTTATTGTTCAACGCTTACCTATGAGTGAGAACATACAGTGTTTGGTTTTCTGTTATTCTGTCAGTTTGCTAAGAATGATAGTTTCCAAATTCATCCATGTCCCTATAAAGGACACGAACTCATCATTTTTTATGGCTGCATAGTATTCCATGGTGTATATATGCCACATTTTCTTTGTTCAGTTTTCCCAACACCATTTATTAAACAGGAAATCCTTTCCCTATTGCTTGTTTTTGTTAGGCTTATCAAAGATCAGATGGTTGTAGATGTGTGGTGTTACTTCCAAGGCCTCTGTTCTGTTCCATTGGTCTATATCTCCGTTTTGATACCAGTACCATGCTGTTTTGATTACTATAGCCTTGTAGTATAGTTTGAAGTCAGGCAGTGTGATGCCTCCAGCTTTATTCTTTTTGCTTAGGATTGCTTTGGCTATGCAGGCTCACTTTTGGTTCCATATGAAGTTTGAAGTGGTTTTTTCAGTTCTGTGAAGAAGGTTTAAGTTTATGATTATTTTTGAGTTAACTTTGTATCTGCTTTGAAATAAGAGTTGATACTCTTTTTTTCCTCTTCTTTTCTTTTTCAAATTGATTAGAATTGTTCCATCCTGTTTCTTGAAAAATTCTATTCGTTCATCATTGAGTTCCTTTGGCAGCTTTGTCAACAGTCAAGCAACCATCTGTATATGGGTCTATTTCTGGGCTCTCTATTCGATTCCATTCATGTATTTGTCTATTGTAATGCCAATATCATACTTCCTTGAATATCTGTTAGTTTTACAGTAAGTCTTATAATCTGTTAGTTTTACAGTAAGTCTCAAACTTTGTTTATATTTTTTGAAACATTGTTGCAGTTCGTTATTATTTGCATTTCCACATACATTTTAAAATAAACTTTCCAATGTCTACACCCCCCAAAAAAGATTGCTGGATTTTAATTGGGATTGTTTTCAGTCTATATATAAATTTGGGAAAAATTGACATCTAATCAAATCTTTTAATTTGCAAATGTTTAAATATAATTTCCTTAATTTTTTCTTGATAATCTGTTACATTTACACCAAAATATTTTAAGCTGTTGGTGGCAATATAAAAACAGTACTTTTAGAATCTCATTTATAATTTTTATTGTTAGCATAAAGAAATATACTTTAATTTTGTATATTGACCTCAAATCCCATCACTTTGCTAAACTCACTTTTAAAAACCATAAAGTCATGTCACCTGTAAATAGACATTTTATTTGATCCATTCTAATCTAAGGTTGGTGCAAAAGTAATTGTGGTTTTGCCACTTCTTTTAACAGCAACCTGATTTGCCATTAAAATCGGGTTGATTACTATTGCAGCAACTTAATAAATGCTTTGAATTCCTTTCCTTGACTGATTAAATGTGCCACGACCATCAGTAATAGATTGAATTGGAGTGAGAGCAGACATTCTTGCCTTTATCCTAAACTTAAAGGGAAAATATTTATAATCTTTGGTTATTCAAAGTATGACATTAGCTATCAGATTTTCACAAACGTCCCTTATACCATTGAGGAAGTTCTCTTATTTCCAAGTTTGTTACTTGATTTCTGATATCAACAATAATAACAGCAGTAAAATGAAATTGCAGGCTCACCCATATTAAAAACAAAATGAAAAGAAAGCTTTGAAAAAGACATCAATAAATTAGGGGTAACGTCATAACTGGTACTAGTAGGTCTAATATTAGGGTTTTATTTGTCCTGCTTTCTCAAAACTTCACCTTCTTTTCTACAAAAACATGGCTAGATCTTAATTTTTCAGTATCACTAGCTTATGTGATAAAATGAAAATGTTACTTTTTGCATTCTCACTTTTTTACTTTCCTGTGGAAAAAAAACGTGTTAATCTCCTGTCTCAATGAATGACACTAATGGCTTTATTCAAATCACAAAGCTGGAGATCATAAATAAGAAAGCTGGAGATCATCCCCAAGGCTTTAACTCTCAACCTTACATCTGAGTCATATTGAATTCACCTCGTAGTTGATCCCTCTTTTAAAGCTCCGTGCCAATTACTGCCTGGTTCAAGCCTTCATCCTTCCCTTGTCGTACATCAAAGGTCACGTCACTGATCTTCAGGTTTATAACTGATTGTCAGGTTTTCAACTGAATCATGAGAATTAGGTTATTTCTCAGTCTTAAATTACTCAATGTGCAGTCCTGATGCCTTCAAAGCAATGTCCATGAAGCTTTTCTCTGCTTACAAGGCCTACTGTGCATGATCCTATATCTATTAGTCCCATATCTGCCCAGTGAGCCACATTTGGAAATGAAAAAAAAAAAAGTACCTTGGGCATTGTAACTTAAGTGGTACAGATTTCCCATATAGAAAAAAGGAGTATTCACTGAAGCTATTGCTCATCTAACAGAAAATAAAGAACACTTCATGCAGAAAATAGGACTTAATCCTTCACGCAGAAAATAACCTCAGGTGAAGATGAACCTCCACCCTGAAAATAGATATAGGGAGCAAGAAGGTCAATTACTTGATTACTGTTTAATTAATAAGTCAGAGATTAATTAGCAGGTCTCTAAATACTTGACGTTATTTGTAAATTCTTAGTGCTGATGTAGCAACTCTCTTCTGTATTCCCATGGTCACAGTAGTTCAATGCTCTAGTTTCTCAACCTCAGTACTATTGACATTTGGGGCCAGATAATTCTTTGTTGTGGAGGCCTGTCTCATGTATTGCAGGATATTTAGCAGCATCCCTGACTTCTCCCACTACATGCCAGTAGCACTCCACTTCTCCACAATGCGACAACCAAAAATGTCTCCAAACATGGCCAAATGTCCGGTGCAGGGCAACAGTGCCTTAGACGGAGAATCATGGCTCTAAGTGAAATGATGTTGTGTACTTGAAATGATAACAGAAATTCTAGAAGAAACAAAGCCTAAGGGATAGAGTTGGTAGGGACCTCACTTTAAACATACTAATTCACAGGGATTTTGGCTAATGGAATAAGGAAGGCAGAGGAAGCCAGCCTGGGTCCCTGCAGGGTTAAGATCAGAGCAAGCAGTGAAAGGTACATGTGATGTATAGAACAACTCCTTTACAGCCATGAAAAATCGTTACACTCTCCTGGATGCATCTGAAGTTTACAACCTCATCTCTTTGCACATAATTTTTCTTTCCATGAAATATCCCATGCCATCTTCATGGGGATTGGGTAAGGCTCACTGGTAGAACAGAAAGTGGAGATGATACATATCAGAGATGGTGAGTATAATGGCGAACAGTATTTACAATGTATATATAATTTTTATAGGCCAGTATCATCTTTGCTTTTTAACTAAGCAACTTCTGCTCTGTATCTCCATAAATCCACTGAAATGTCAGATTCTCTCTTCTTCTGTTGTGCCCCTAGAATAAAATTTTATTTTAAGGTACGGTATTAATGTAAACAAATATTTCATCCATTTCCATCTTAAGTTCTGGAAATACTAAAAGCATACATATTTAATGCACCAGTCTGTAACCTAACTCTTTTCAGAGAGGGTAACAATCTATAAATGAATACATATGCTCATTTCATTCCCTGATCAAAGAAAACATATATATGTGGAACATAAACATATATAGAACATCAATATAGTGGAACTATATTTGAACTTTAAAATTCTGGTTTTAAAGTGTTAATGCATTGCATACAGCACATTCCATTGGTTTAAAGTAAATGAACGCAGACACACACAAACACAAACTGAAATAAAAATGAAACGTACATTTGAAATATATTTGGTTAAACTGAAGTGATTCCATTGACGCTCTAATTTCATCCCAGGCCTAACAATAGGAAATCCACATGAATTATTAACAACTGTGTATAGCATTGAGGTTTTCCTATGTGGATAACAGCAATTAGAAATTTAGGAATGCTGGAATGTACTCATGAACTAATCAAATCAAGATGCCCAGTGGTTCTTTTTCTTAGAATGTTAACAAAGTTTGCCGTCATAGCTTTGCACTTCATAGAAATACTTACTTGTTGACTGACTGAAAGAATATTTCAATCCTCACTTATGAATGTTCACAATAGAAGTCTGATTAATTATTATGTGACAGAAATACAATGCTTAAGTGATGGTACTTTAAGTCATGGTACTTTTCTTAAATATGCTTACAACACATCATAACCACTTACTGTCTCCTCTGCAGAGTAGAGGCCCCAGTTTATAAGCAGCTTCTGAATGCGGTCGGCCTGTGTCTGTGATGACAATCTTAGTTACTGGAAGATGTTCTTTATAAGAAAGCAATCCAGTGTCATTGGTCCTAAAAGGCAATACCAACCACAAAATTCTTAAGACATTTTAATAGTCCTTATCGCATTGCAAAACCAAGATGTTCTGAACTAAATTTGCACCCACAAAAGAGTAAGGATCCCATCACTCATCTGAGCACATAAAAACAGAATGACATACAATTTCTTTAATTTGTTATTTATTGTTATTATTATTTTGAGACAGGGTCTCACTCTGTCTCCCGGGCTAGAGTGCAGTGGCACCGTTCTGGCTTACTGCAACCTCCTCCTCCTGGGTTCAACCAATTCTTGTGCCTCAGCCTCCCAAGTAGCTGAGATTACAGATGTGCACCACCGCACCCAGTTAATCTTTGTATTTTTTGGAAAAGTCAGGGTTTTGCCATGTTGGCCTGGCTGGTCTTGAACTCCTGGCCTCAAGTGATCTGCCTGCCTCAGCCTCCTAAAGTGCTGGAATTGTAGGCATGAGCCACTGTGCCTGGTCAAAACAATGCCATTTTAATGTCTCTTGTAGAAAGTATGTAATAGAGAATACAAAATATAGGATACTGTTAAAAATAGAACACAGTGGGAGATTTTTTAATTCAATAGACCATTTTCTACCTTTTGACCTAAATTGATTAATACATTAACATTTAGTGTAATGATGGATACCGCTTTTGAGGTCTACCATTTTGCTATTTCTTCTGTTTCTCCCACGTGATTTCTTGTACTTCTGTTTTCCTTTGCTGCCTCCTCTTGGTTTTCTATACTTTTTGTATTTAGTTTTATTTTCTCTATTCACTTTTTAGCTACGTTTGTTGACTGTATTTTGATGTTTGCTTTACAGATTAGAAAATAAATTCTTAGTTTATCACAGCCTATTTAGACATTATGTTTTTTAACAACCAAAATGTCCAAAGCTTGCTAAGGGATAATTCATTTAACACTGCTCCATCCCCCCCACACATACTTATTCTTTGTTTGGTTATTGTAATATATTTTAAATGCATGTGTTATAAATGTTATAATAAAATTAAACAGTAAATTTAATTTTTAATTAAGAAAACAATTTAAGCACTGGTTTTTATATTTACCAACATATTTGCAATTTCCAGTGCTTTTTATTTCTTCCTGAAGATCTGAGTTTTCATTCATGTTATTTCTCTTTAGCCTGAAGAATTTCTATTACAATTTGTTATTTCAGATACTCTTTCTATTCTAAAATTTACATTTTGTTCCATTTTATAGTTCTCGCCTATCGTTTTAAAATATCCTTTGTCTACACATTGTGATTATTTTTGCCTTTAAGTCTTCAAATATTTTTATAATAGTTGCTGTAAAATTTCTGCCTGACAATTCAAATATCAGTACCCCAAGGTTTCTTTATGATGACTGCTCTTAATTTCTTGACTTTAGATCAAAATGTACTCTTTTTTGAATATTCAGTAATTGTTATAACATATGGTATATCATGATATATTCTAAAGATTCTGGATTTTGTTATTCTTTAAAGATTTCATTTTTGTTTTCATAGGCAGTTAAATCACAATCTTATCACAATACATTGCCACTGCTTGGTCTGGCAATTCATTAGTTAGAGGCTGTGTGAATTTTGCTTAGTTTCCAATTCTAGCACTCAGATCTGGGACATAGTTTTTGCTGTAAACACATGGGCAGTTTCTGCCTACATCTGGTTGCTCTCTGCTTATTTCAAGTGGTTGTTTTGATAACATTTTTTCCTGGATTTACAACAATTATCTGAGAAGGGTTAGTTCTATGCAAGTTACTTCACCATTAGCAGAATTTCATATGAGAAGTTTTACAATCTTATTTTTTAAAGTCATTTTTAATTAGCAATATGTTATAGAAGCATTGGAGAGTTATTGATGATTAGGTAAATTTTTACTGTTGTTAAGCATTACTACTAGCCTTCTATTTATATTTTAAAATATAATATGACTGTATAGCATTTTTTGTGAAGATACTGAGAAGAACAGGGTGCTTTCCAAAGGGAGTAGAAATTTTGAAAAATGAGAGTTTGAGTGACAGAGACACTATTCTTCACACCAAACATGTAACACTAAAAGTGCTATTCCAAAAGAACTACATATATATAACATAATCTTGAGGTTTCCCAACTAAATAAATATTATCTAATTCAAATTACAACCTCAATTAACAGCAGATTTATCCCCGTAATCAATAACAACATCATTCATATCAACATCCAGATTGACTGTGAATATTTGTTAAAAATAAGTCTTCTGTACAGGTTCAGTTGCTTAGCAATGTAACATATACATACGTTATGCTAAAATGTAGATATAAACATTTAAAATATTTTCACTTTACGAATAACAAATAAGACCAGTATACATGCCAACTCTGGTCTCAAATACTAACAATGTCTTTTTTAATGTTTTCAAATAAAGAACACATATATAAGCTTCTTTTCTACTTACAGGAATATTTTAAATTTGATTTTAAAATTCCTAAAATGTTACTGATTTCATTTTTCAAAATATAATCCACAGAACATTAGTTCTTTGTGGTATGATTTGTCTTTCTAAAAGCATAAAAGAAATGCATTATAACTGTAGCAAATTTTAAAGGTTTTATAGGTAGATTATTGAAGAAATGTGCTTTGGCTGTAAATATACTCTCAAGATAACAGAATACCTACTCATATATAGTTTTAAATGGAATAATAATTAATTCCCCATGTAACAGGTGTCTCTATTGGATTATCAAATTTAAATGTACATAACTTATGGTCCATTACAGAAAATAACTCAAAAAGGCATTGACTTAACACTTAGAATTATATTGAGTATACCAAGCTTCACCAAAACATACCTTTATCTAATCCCTTCATTGCACTAACTTGTTCAGTATCTGGCTAGCTATACATTTAGTGATAAATTTATTTTTTTTAAATAAACTTTTTCTTGCATAAAGAAATCATATGGAAATCACCATTCATTCCAGTCAGCATCACAATTGCAGTAATACTGAGAATCAATGCAGTTTCCCTCTAATCCACAAGTACATTTTTGAAGATCAGGCGAGGAACCTCCCCAGTAGGTTTGTGTTTCATTGGTCCTTCCTATCCACCAGCTCAGAGGGGTTCCATCTGAAAGACAAACGTGAAAAATGTGACATATGCTTTATGTCCCATCACCTTTTCTCCCGGTATAATTCCCTTTCTTCCAAAGTCATCAAAAAGAATAAAAGGACAAAGAGAGAAAGAATGATTTGATTTAAGGATACACAAAACACTATAATTGATGGCATTTCCTTAAGACAACTTTTTTTAAATAAAAAAGTTATTATTTAGGCTTCAATGACATTTGTTCTTGAGCAGAAAAAAAAACAGCAGTTTCTCTTTAACTTAGGCATGATAGTAAAAAATGGATTGAGAGCAGCTCTCATATACAATGTCTTTAAAAGTAATTTTGAAACAAGTTAGCATCAAAATATAAATCATAGTAATTAACATACCAAAGCAAAATTGATTTGAAATCATGAAAAGCCCATTAAAGCATTATGGAATGTTATGGAATGTCCCTGATTTGTCTTAATAAATTTATTGTCTAAAATTATCCTAGCTGTTTAATAAACATTAGTCATGGTTTGGCACTCCCTTGTCATGATTTAAGAATTATTTGGAAGTATATATTTTATCTTACATTTAATGGCTTTGGTATTTATTTAAAGACTGCAAAAATAACACTGAAAAATCTTCATGATGGAAGTGAATATTACACTCAAAAGAAGTTTCCCTCAGCCAAATCATCTCTTTCTACGATAAATGTTCAGCTACCAGCTCCTTTTCAGAGTTAAGACTAGATATAATGCCAAGGAACTAGAGCAAGGAACAAACAGAACATCTAGGCAAGGATTTTCAGAAAAGGAAGTGAAGCATTTAGCCAATCTATCGTGGAAAAAAACAAGTATGGAGAATAAATTGTAGTCATCCAAGAATCAGGGAATGAGAAGAATGTAAGCAACATCGAATCAGTCAGCTTCTCAAAGGTGCTTGATCATTTTTCTGTAGACTTTCGAACCTTTAAGTTGTCACCATTAGCCCTACTGAGCAACTGGGATTTTTTTTACTAATTTCTCCCTTGCTTACAAATGCCAAGGTTCATTTTAACTTACTATTAGATAACCCCTTTGCTAATGCTGACAGCCTCTCTCCCAGGATTATTATGCAAGCCAGTCTGGTCACATCAGAAAAGCAAAGAGTTATCAGAAGCTGTGTTATGCATAAATACATTAATAAGAAGAATCTTCATCTTTTTTAAATTACATGATTAGCCCTTCACCAGAAGGTGAAAATTACTTGAAACAATTAATAAATATATTTCAATATACTGCTGAAAACGTTATGTTTTCATAGAATAGAAAGAAAAATAAATTGTTATTCTTAAATACTGAACTATATTACCACATCTAAATTTTTTGTCTTCCCTACAAAATAAAAATCACTGAATGTTTTTTAAGGTGTCAGACTTTGGTTCAATCTAAGACTTTTTTAAAAAATGTACTAAGAAATTTACATAAGTATAGAAATGAATTTTTTAAATCCTGAGAAATAAAAATTAAAGGTAAAAGATACCTGTGGATATGGTAGGACATTCCACTTCCCATAATTAAAATCCTAAATGACTTGAGCATTCCCATTAATCATCCCTCCTATGTGCTGAGTCACAGATCCTCAGCAGCTGAAAACATATTTTCATACACATTTCACTTCATTCATTCACATATGGCATCATTATCACTTGACACTAAATCACCAAGATCTGAAACTCTAAATATAGCTTGTCTGAAAACAACTTCCTGTTCTTCCCCATTATATTTCTTACCGTGACCTCAGAATCCAATTGTTCCCTCTCTTTTATGTCTCTCCACCTCAAATCTATCCTACATGAATCATGAGGTCACCAACCTGAGAAAAAAATGTGTGTATTTAGCCAAGATTAGTATCCCCTGTTCCACACCTTTCTGGAGTTGACTTTCTAAAACTGGTTCTTGAGTCTGAAATACCAAGCAAGCATTTTAAGTGCACAGGCACAACTGGCCTTAAAAATGGGGATTCCTTCACATTCTGTCAACCCCTGTATTAGTCTATCTTCATGCAGTTAATAAAGACATACTCAACTGGGTAATTTATAAAGAAAAGAGGTTGGGTGGACTCATCATTCCACATGCCTGGGAAGCTTCACAATCATGGTGGAAGGCAAGAAAGAGCAAAGTCACGTCTTACATGGTGGCAAGCAAGAGAGCTTGTGCAGGGGAACTCCCACTTATAAAACAATAAGATCTCATAAGACTTATTCACTGCCATGAGAACAATATGGCAGAAACCACTCCATGATTCAGTTATCTCCACCTGGCCCTGCTCTTGACATGTAAGGATTATTACAATCCAAGGTGGGATTTTGGTAAGGACACAGCCAAACCATATCAACTCCCTTTACTCTGTGTGGTGTTTGCTCACCAGTCCCTCAGGTATTCTGCTTTCTAGTTCTGTTACAGCTTGACTTCTTTGTCAACTTTGATAACCATCCTTCTTTTCATATTTTCTTATGTTTTATTTTTCAGCTCTGCAGTAAAATTGACAAATACAAATTGTATACATTTAAGGTGTGCAAAGCAATGTTTTCATGTATACAGTAAAATGATTACTACAGTCACACTAATTAACATATTCATCGCTTCATACAGCCACTTTATATTTTTATGGTGAGAATACTAAGATCTACTCTCTTAGCAAATTTCAAGTGTAAAATAATACATTGTTGTTAACTATAGTCATCATTCTGCATACTACATCTCCACAATGTATTCATCTCACAACTGCAAATTTATACCCTTTGACCAACATCTCCACACCAACCTCCTCCCCCAGAAACCACTCTTTTACTCTGTTTCTACGAGTTCAACTCCTTTAGGTTCTATATATAAGTGGGATCACAAAGTATTTCTCTTTCTGTTTCTGGCTTCTTTCACTCAGTATAATATCCTTCGCTATCTTGAGATGTTTTCACTCCCATGTTCATTGCAGCTTTATTCACAATAGCAAGAGATGAAAAAACCTAAGTGTCTATTGATGACTGGATAAAGAAAGTGTGATATATATACATGTACACACACACAATGGGATATCATTCATCCTTAAATAGAAGGAAGTCCTACCATTTGTGACAAAAAAGATGAACATGAAAGGCATTATACTAAGTGTAATAAGCCAAACACTGAAAGACAAATACTGTATGACCTCCTTTTCCACATAATGACTGAATTCCTTTTGTTCCAGAGCGTTCATTTACCCTCCATAATTATCATTCTTTTGAGACGGAGTTTCTTTCGTTACCCAGGCTGGAGTGCAATGGCGCAATCTCGGCTCACCGCAACTTCCGCCTCCTGGGTTCAGGCAATTTTCCTGCCTCAGCCTCCTGAGTAGCTGGGATTACAGGCACGCGCCACCATGCCCAGCTAATTTTTTGTATTTTTAGTAGAGACGGGGTTTCACCACATTGACCAGGATGGTCTCGATCTCTTGACCTCGTGATTCACCGGCCTCAGCCTCCCAAAGTGCTGGGATTACAGGCGTGAGCAACCGCACCCGGCCCTTAATTATCATTCTTATTCTTCTTAGAATACTCTTCCAGATTTGCTTATCAGCTTTTTTACTCTAAGATGAATATTCAGCAACAAGGAACAGCACATTACATACTAAACTGTGTATGTTCGCTATGGCCACAACGCTCTGGAGAGCCAGAAATGAGGGAATCCCCTGATGCACTTTGTATGTGCTATGCCAACTAATCATCACTGCACCCCTATGAGGCTGGTATCATTGGCCCCCATTTCAGAGAGAAGAAAACAAAGACTGAGATTCATTAACCATTCATCCATTTCATGAATCAAAGTTTCATCTATCTAAGTTCTAGACGCACCTAACCAATGACAAACACACCCACACCTCCAGCTGTAAATCCTATGCTGTTCACACTACAACTGTCTGGTCCTCGATTGCACACAGAATCGAGGTTTCAGGAGGAGATAAGTTTTGGGGTGGGTACCAGCAAGATGGGATTAGAGGGGTAGAGGCCAAATGAGAACATTCTGAAAAAGGAAAAGGAGGAGAAGCCAAAAGGAGAAGAACGGCAAGGGGGAATTCAGTCACAGGGGAGAAAATGGTCTGATTTGTAGTGGGTGGAGAGTAAAGAGAGGCTTCATCAGAAAAGCAGGGTTCAAATGTCAGAACAACAATTCAGCATTTTTGCATGATCTCTATGACATACACTATTCCTATATGAAACAAATTTCTCCTTAAATTCTTGTCATTCTATCTGGAACTCCAACCCGTCTTAGGACAACAGGAGCGAACATGAAAGAAGTGGCTTTATTGTACAGATGTCTTAAAATGTTCTCTAACATGTGGGATCAAGGTTGCATAAGCAGGGTGGACACAGAATCTGCAATTCCCGGATCCAGCAGAAGAGGCTATGAAGGACAGACAAAAAACAGAAAGGCAGCAGAGTTTCTTCAATAGAACTGTGTTTCTTAAAAATGGGAGCAGCATTCTTAAAGGTTAAGTTACTTCACAGAGTAATATTTTGGATTTTGCATTGGATGGTTATAAGAGAGGAAGAGATGGCAAGCTGAGAGGCAAGGTGGGAAGCTCTTGCTGTAACTTCAAGAATTAGCTCGTTAAGGCCTACTCTAAGGCAGATGTGGTAGGAACAGAGGCTCTGACATAGTGAGATGCTCTAAAGAAAGAAAGCATGAAACCAAAACCAGAACTCAGGAGCAGACTGGTTATTCATAGCAGAATCAATAAAGAGTTAAGGTGTTTTTCTGATTCCTCCTTGAACTAGTGAATCAACTGTGTTTCTGGCAGTCTTTTCTAATTTTCAATTATACCCAGAGGCCGTCAACAATCCATGAAAAAGAGGTACATAGAATACTCACTTCCAAAAAACTAAGCCCTATTTTTATTAGCTGTTTTCCATGATAAAACAAACCTTAGATGTCACTTGCCCTTTATCAGGGATAAACACCGTGCATTCACTGTGTATCAGAAGGAGGCATTTGCTGTATAGTTATCCAATTAAGAACAGGAACAGAGTTTAAAAGCAATCAAGGCTTTGAATAAAGCTTAGTGTAAATTGACCTTGTTCTTTTCTTCAGGCAAAAGCATCTTTGTGACTTCCAGACTGTGACACGTTTACTAAGTATGCAAGATCCTATACCCTCAGTAGCTATATGCCACCACTTTGCAGAATTAAAATCCTCAGGAGCTAGTTGAGTGCGTGTATGATGTGATGGGTGTGCAGCCAGACAGACACCATGGTTTACTTACCTTGCTTATTGACGAGCCGTGACTTCTTGCAGTAGTAAGTAAGCTCCTGTTCACAGTGTTCCGCACGGTTAATAGTGGCCTGGAGTTGCTCCATGCTGGCCACATACTCGAAAAACCCAGCATACGGGTTCTCTGGATGAGTGTTTCTGACTCTTGTTAAGTCAGAGCCGTTGTGCTGTATGATGGTCCATGCGGTTTCTTGTATGCAGAAATGGGGGGAGAAAGAGAGGAGACCATCACTAGTCTGCAAAAGTTAAAATAAATAAAGAAGATCAAAATCACCTTTTATCTGAGTCAAATTTTTCTAGTCATCAAATCTCTCTGAGCGGTAGAATCAACGCAAATGGATTCTCAGAATTTTTAAACTATGGAAAGTGATGATTTTTCCTGAAATACATACTATTGCCATGCATTTACAGTGATTTTATTTAGCTCTCTCATATAATTTAGCCACACAATATTTACGATGAAAAATATTTGGAAATCTGATTACTTTTTGGGATGTATTTTATTTCACTGAATCTGATATTCTAGCTTTTTAAAGATGCATCATTATTTTATTTCACTGCAAGAAAGGAAAAAATGCTGCCTAACTACAAAATATTATTCATCATTGACATACTCAAAATCCAGTGATGTCACAATATGAAAAAAAGGTGCATATTAGAATTCATGAAATATTTTCTATTATATAAAATAAGCAGTGACTTTTCTACTCTTAACAACTATTCGTGGTATCAGCAAAAATAAAGTCAAAATTTCATAGCTCTCTACATACCTGTCTTTAGTCAACATTTAATTATCAGTGTGCATCTTTTAAAAATTGAATTTGAAATAGTCATTTTGATATCATGTGATCTGCGCAGTTAGGCAGTACAATAGGAAGTAATTTTTTTAAACTGAACACATCTGACACAGCATCTCAACTAACACAAAAGTCAAATATCTTGCAGTATCTACCCAAGTTATCAGTATTGGTACCTGAATGTCCATAAACATTTCCATCATACTGATAACCAAAATTTCTTAGATTAAATCAAATCCCACAATGTTTATAACAGATGATAGGCATATGATATCTGTCCTTCAACTTTACCAGACTTTATACTCTATTTTCTGTGATATATGCAAAGAACAGATGAATCAAAAAGCCTCTGATTTAGTAGGCAAAAAAAAAGATTGAAAGTTGTCAAAACTCCACTATATATGTGCTGTTAAGTCCCACAACTCTTCTATATTACAGCGGAATATCCCAGATTGGAGAAAAGTAGTAACAGTAGGAAAAACTGCCCCCCAACTCCATCTTTTTAGCTAAGATATTCACATGGATCAACAATCAAAATAAGGAGGTATACTTTGAAAATTTCATTGCCAATCCTTTCCCAGTCATCAGAGTTTGGACTAGAGAGGCAGGCTAAATGAGGCAGGACTAACTTCACAGCCTTACTGCCTTCCATGTGTGGATTATTATTTTTCTGTGAAAATGTGACATGGTAAAAGCCCCATAAAACTGCACACCTCAACCATACCTCGGCTTTCTATTGAAACTGCTCTGTAACTTAAATGTGACAGGCAAGCAGTCCAAAACCACGCCATCTTGGCCCCTGTGACTTGTAATAAGTAATTAAGGACTGTGATTTCCACCCTACCCAGACAATGTGTAAACAAATGCCAATCTTGACTTTTGTGAACCACTTAAGTAACAATTAGAATGTCAAAAGTCCCCTGGCTCCCCGGAGTGTCCGGAGCCTCTCACCCTCATCTCCGCCCAGGAGGTGATTTACAGAATCCACTAGCCCTCACCACACCCCTGCCCCTCACCCTCACTCCCGAGGTGGTTTTATGGTTATAAAAAGTCTTGACACCTTCCTTTGGGGCCACAGGTTAGAAAGACGCGAGTCCTCCGTGGCTGCCGGCAATCAAGACTCTGCAATTTGGCATACTTTTGTCTTGGTGTTGACTGTCTATGCTCAGGCCAGTACCACAAAACGACAGCTGTTATTTTTGTATTTCCCACTTGCATTTCAGTTCACCCGTTATCAGTAGAACATTCTCAAAGAGAACTTAATCTACGACCCGAAGAAATTACGGGTGGCCAGAAGTACAACGTCTAAATCATCAAGAGATCTGAGGTACAGATCTGGCATGAATCTTGTACCCTTAGGAAAGTCAGGTAGAAAAGATCTGAGCCTCCTTTTCAAATTTGGAAATTAAATTGGCAGAATAAGGTCTGAAATTCTATAATTTGAGCCAGCTCAACCTTGGCTATTAGAAGTTTAAGGCTATTATTAACTAGACAAATCTGACGGCCTAGCCTCTGTTGGACTCTGTTTCTATTGTTCAAAAAAACTATTCACCTTTTCTTGTGGTCAATCAATGGTATGCAAGAAGAAGCTTAACTCTGGCTGAGTAGCTACCAAGAGAGGTGGACAATATACCTGCTTGAAGTCTTTGTCTCTTTCCCTTCTGGATCACACTGAGAGAGACTTCCCTGCAGTTTTGCATCCACTGGGTCACAATTAACACCTGATTCTAAAGGTTTTTAAAGGTGTTGCAAGAGATTCAAGGCCATAGTGCATGGCAGCCATTAAAGAGTAGCTCATATAAACATTTCCTTTTAAAATTCTAAAATATTTCAACATTATGATAGTTCCTGTAAGTGATTTTATTCTCTAATAAAAAGCATTACAAGGTATGATGTTAAACAGATGCCACACTTTTCAGTCCATCTAGATTTCCAGGGCAGAAAAGACAATCAAATCGTCACAATAGATTTTGAGCAACAGAGATAGATGCCTTAAAAGGTAGGTTCCAAAGCTCATCTGAAAATCAAAAGCCTCAAATCAGAGTTTCTTTACTGTTCTTTCAGACATGATTGAGTGATCTTAAGTTTCTACAAATACCTATTTAGAAATAAGAGTGGTAAAAGACATAGACTTCCTCACAATTTGTATTTCAATACTTCGTCCTTGATTTTATTGGTCTTTCCCACCAGTCTGCAAGCTGTATGAGAACAACAGTAGTTTCTGATATGCTAACAATCCTATCTCCAGCACATAGCACAAGGCTTGATACAAAATGCAGAAGACATTTGTTAAAGAAATAAGGGAATAAATGAATGAATAAAAAACAATGCATTGTCTAGATTAGAGCACAACCTCGTAGGTTATCTGATTCAGAGTCTGTGGTGGCTCTGATATTTTTGTTGCCTCTGAGGTATTACATAATTCTATAAATTAGCCAGGCATGGTGACTCATGCCTGTAATTCCAGCATTTTTGGAGGCCAAGGTGGGCGGATCACGAGGTCAAGAGTTCGAGACCAGTCTGGCCAATATGGCGAAAGCCCATCTCTGCTAAAAAAAAAAATAATAATAAAAATAAAACCAAAACCACAAAAATTAACTGGGCATGGTGGTGCATGCCTGCCTATAGTCCCAGATACTCGGGAGGCTGAGGCAGAAGAATCCCTTGAACCCAGGAGGCAGAGGTTGCAGTGAGCTGAAATCGCACCACTGCACTCCAGCCTGGGCAAGAGAGAGGGATTCCGTCTCAAAAAAACAAAAACAAAATAATTCTATAAATTGTAGCGAATAAAATTGCAAAATAATGTTAAGTCTGAAACTGTGAAGCGCCCTGAGATGTTACCCTACCTGTGAGTTAAGGAGTTATCTTGCCCATGCACAGATTTTATCTTTCTGTTTATCAATCTACCTACCTACCTGTCTAATCTGTACTAACAGATACAGAGGACCTCTGAATCAGGGACCATTTGCTCATAGAGAATCTCATAAGTATCAATCCCTCATACCTCAGTTTCCCATGTGCAGATGCAGTGAGTGCTAGACATAGCAATGCATGTTTGAGTTGCACCATAAGAGAGGAATCACAAAATTATGAAGCTTAGAGTTACAGAGGGTGTATGGCACATTCTCTCTTCTTCCCCTCTATAAAGTGACAGAGAGACTTTGACTCTAGAATGTCACAAATTTTCTTTTCTGAGACGGAGTTTCGCTCTTGTTACCCAGGCTGGAGTGCAATGGCGCGATCTCGGCTCACCGCAACCTCTGCCTCCCGGGTTCAGGCAATTCTCCTGCCTCAGCCTCCTGAGTAGCTGGGATTACAGGCACGCGCCACCATGCCCAGCTAATTTTTTGTATTTTTAGTAGAGACGGGGTTTCACCATGTTAACCCGGATGGTCTCGATCTCCTGACCTCGTGATCCACCCGCCTCAGCCTCCCAAAGTGCTGGGATTACAGGCTTGAGCCACTGCGCCCGGCCCCACAAATTTTCTTTAGAGGAGAGAAGATGCAAGTCCTTAGGTTTTTATTACTCTTAGAAAACAAGCAAATGTATCTGGAGGAGAAAAGCCTTTAAATCTCTTCAAAGCAATTCACTATCTCTAACTTACAAGACACATTTAATGTAGGTTGCCAGATCTTTTTTTTTTTTTTTTTGTCTTTGCCTAAAAATAAAGGCACTGTCTCCTTACAACAAATAATTACGTCTGTAGACAAGCACGTTCTACGTGGTTGACGTTCTAGCGCCTTCCCTCCTCCATGGATGAATCTAGTGTTGCTTCCACAGGCACACTTGTCTCGGTGTTCCTAATGTGTACATGTGTCTATTCTTTGGATTCTCCTTGGAACTGATGGTAATATCTTAATCAATTTCTTTATTAATAATGCATTTTAAAAATCTTTAAAATTTTTTAGCTTTTATTTTCATATCTGCATGAGCATCATGATTTTACTTTATTACAAATTATCTTTTACTAAATGCAAAAAGAGTTGCAGGGTTAAGGAGACATGGAAATAAATAAGAGATGGCTGAAATAGGCAGAAAAATCTATGAAGTTTAAAAACATGGAATGGTAGTTTGCCTACTCACATCTCTCCCTGAAGAGATTTCAATATTTGTAAATAAAGCAGCTGAGTAATTAAGAATTTGATTTACCTTAGGCTAGCTGCTATTTTTGAGTGCGATAACAGTGCAAAGAGAAAACATGCTGTCTAAGCAATACAGTTGCAAAGCTTGCGTTGCTTCTTGCTTAATAGCTGAAGGTGATAGATGTGATAAAGATCGTAAGAGCAGGTAGGCAGTGCTGTGTTAAGGAAAGCAGAGGAGACAGGAAGGGAGACGGCCTTCTGGAGCAAAACTTGATGTAAATATGACTGCATTTGATGGATGATGGACAGT